GTGCCATAGAAGTATTATGTACACTAACCGTGTTTGCATACGTTTGTTTAGCTAGACCGACTAAGAAGACTTAGATATACTTGATACTAGGTCTGCCCCCAAATAGTCGATTAATCATTAGTCGACTAAGTAAGTCTTAATCGAGCAATTTTTCATTAAGATTGAGTTGAGATTAAATCAAAAAATCATTAAAAAATATATACCGTAATTTCCGGACTATAAGGCGCACCTGAATATAAGCCGCAGCAGCTAAATTGAATGATGTGTNATACTCTGCTAAAAGTAGAAGTACTGACTAAACTTCTTTACTAAAGTAAAAGTAAAGAGGCTTTGAAATGTACTTCAGTAAAAAGTACCCATAACTAGCAGCTGTTTTATAGAGTACCTGACCTCTGCTAGTTATGGGTACTTTTTACTGAAGTACATTTCAAAGCCTCTTTACTTTTACTTTAGTAAAGAAGTTTAGTCAGTACTTCTACTTTTAGCAGAGTATTTTTAAACACGTGTATCTGTACTTCTACTTGAGTACAGGATGTGTGGACTTTTGCCATCTCTGGAGGGGCTAGTTCCTGTTATCTCTTATTTGGCTTCTTATCTCTGCTTTAGCTTCACCTCATCACGCCTCAGTCTCAGATGAAGCCTCAGTTACAGGACTGATGGGAACAAAGATGGCTTCAGGAGATGTCTGTGCAGCTTCATATCCAGGTACCACAATGTCAAACACTGAAAACCACGGGTGGCATGGTGGGTAATTAAATGCTCGAATGGCTTCTTGAAGTCTGCTGTGGGAGGCTGTGGCTCTGTGGCTCAGTGGATAGTGCGCTGAACTTTGAATCAGGGGGTAGCAAGTTCAAGTCCCATTGCCGCCAGCATGTCGTTGTGTCCCTGAGACACTTCACCCCAAATTGCTCCTGTGGGGATTGCCCACGGTACTGAATGTATGTAAGTCGCTTTGGATAAAAGTGTCTAACAAGTTCAATCTAACCTAATGTAAGGCTGTCAGGTAGGATTCTTCTGTCTCTGTGGAGGCTTCCTGATAAATGAGGACATGTTTGAGGAAAGAGTCACTTAATAGAGATGACCCTCCTCTTTAAGGTTGTAATGTTTTCAGCAGCATTGCAAGCATCTGGTGTCACGGGCCCAGCATTATATACATAGGGGAATATTTACAACGCCTTTTATTTACTTTTTACTTGAGGGCACTTCCCATAGGTGAAATCACTGATAACGGCAGTGGAAAGTGTGTGTTTAGGCGGGGTTGTAAATGCATCCAATTGGATCCAACCATTGCACCATATGTATCACAACAGACTGAAAACTACATTGGAAAAGATCAACTGAGAGACAGTTTTACTGGATACACATGTGGAGGGAAAGTAAAAGATGACATAGTAAGTAGTAGAGACAGAAGAGAGGGAGAACATGGGAAAATATAGCAAAGATGTTCAAATGTTTCACTGAAAGTCGTATTTTTCATGAACCGTATGACCAAAGATTGCTCACATTCAGCATTGCTTTTATCTAACGCTTTAAACTCCAAAAAGCCCCTGCTCCCTGGGCACAGATAAGTAACACCTTGTGTCTAATGATGATGTTGTCTAGGAAAAGTGCATTTAGCCAGGCTGTCTTTTCATTCAACGCGTCCCATCAATAGAATTCAATACCACAACCGACAAGAGAGTCCTCATCCTACTACTCATTCAAGCACAGTGTTAAAAAGTGGCTCATTGATAACCAACAGTGTCAGCACTGATGTGTGGGTGTGAGTGCGTATTGTGAATGTTTTCTTAATAATCATGACTTGCTCCTTACCTGTATTCAGTGATGTCGTCTATTGTAAATATGTACATTTTTTTTGTATAACAATGTAGTGGTATTTCTATTCTTGCTTTTAGGATCACCATCTGGCAAAGGGACTATCGGTGAAAACTAGTCTTTTGGCTAATTCGAGTACAGTTAGACGTTTTTAATATGTTGATTAATGTACACTGTCCCTTTTTTAAATAAACAAAGTCAGTGTCTCAAACCAATACTTCACCAGGATTTTCTCATGTGCACCATTCCTTTCAAGCAACACGTGTCTCACACTTCCTGCATCAGGGCTTATTGAATGGAACTCAAATGTCCAAATACGTGAACTGTGGATGGATAGCAACGAATTTGAAAAAAAATGTCAGCCTTGCAAAGAATTGTGTCTCTAAGAGCTAGTCAAGATTAATTGAGTAATTTTTAACCCTTTGAGATCTCATGCCCGGTGAACATAAATGCATTTTTGTTCACAAATGGAAAAATCATTAGCCGTGGAGTGGCTTTCTAATCAAATGATGTATCTAATTCAATAATAAACTTATGAATATCTCATTAAAATAATGAGATAACAACTAATTACTGATAATTCATTCTGAAAGGAAAGAATATTAACATATTTACTGCACCCAAGGCCTGTGGCTTAATTTAATTTCACAATAATATTTGAGTCTAATATTTAAATCATCCACATTTACAAGCACTCAAAAAACATTTCTTGCAAACACGGTTGGTATATATCAATAAAGTGAACTACCCCTAACATGATCATTTTAATGAGTGACCTGAACAAAAAGCAACAACAAGGATTTATGAACAATGACTAATGCTATGGGCACTTGGATAAAAATGCAAATATAATTAGTCATTGTTTCAAAGCAAGCAATAATCAGTATGTTTTCTGGTACCACTTTATATTAAGACTACCCTTATAAAGGATTCTTAAAGGGCTTATAATTAGGTTATGAATTAGGTTGTAAACACTTTATTAATCATTAAGAACCACTTATAAACCAGTTCTAACATACCATATCAACACAGGCTCACTATTTGGCAAGATGACTAAGCCTTATATTGGCTACGTAGCTTACTTCGTCTTCTTCATCAGCCAACATCCTTGGTATCTGTGTTCACCGAGTTGATTCCCCCCCTCCATCTTGATGTTTCTTGGCCTCTCTTATGACCATTTATTTACGATTACTAACATGTATAGTTGCCAAAGGGAGCCTTATGTGAGTGTAAAACACTTGCCCAGTATTAATGAGTTACTACCATATATAATAAGACACAATAAATGTGGGCTCACTATTTGGCAAGCAACCGATCACAGTTGCCCTGTTTATCTCATGTCTTATAAAAAGCTGTTAATGATTTATTAAAAGTGGTCACAGCCTAATTAATAAATGAATTACAAACTATTCGTAAACCCTTAAAAGGAGTAGTCTTATTGTAAGTGGTACCTGTTTTTTTACTTTATTCACGAAGACCTGATAAACGAAACATGGCTTACGTATTTCATTTTGTCTAAATTACCATATTTAATTTCCTATTCTGTTCTTGTGACATATTCATATTCTATTGACATAGTACTGTATATAGACTTTTGCCACTACCTTCTTTATTTTGTATTTATTGATATTTTATATATAGTTGCATTGTGGGAGGAGCTCAGGTTCAAATAATTTAATTGCATTCTACACTTTCTGCTATATAACAATAAAACCTTTGAGCTTGTAATCATACTAGATAACCTTAGCTGGAAGAGCAACAAATAGCAGTATGTTTCCCCCCCCCACCCCCACCTCACACCGTTCATACAGCCTAAAACCATTTGCGCTTACAACATATGAAATTCATAAATCCTCTCCAGGATTTTGGTAGTCCAACTCAAACTCCTGTACACATCATGAAACCGCTCTGAATGGCACCACACTAGCTCTGACTGGAGTACTCTGGCGTCTTTTAAAAATCCCCAAAGTTCCAGTGCAACAGTCAATAATCAGCCGTAGGGCAAGAGACATGTTGAAACGGGCTATAATTACTGCTTTACTTCATTATACAGCTGCAGGAGCGCAACCAGAGATTGCCATCGATAATGAGCATGATAAGAGGCCCTTAGGGTTTTATGAGTTTGGTTTACTTGGTGAGCTAAACCTTGCAGAAGTGTAAGCAGCGTCTTAAGATTCTTTTACTTGACACACATTATATCTCTGTACATAGGGCAGGATGGAGAAAACACAAATGTAAACGATTATATAATACATAATAATAAAATAATAATACATAATAGTGAATTGGTATATAGCGCCTGGCGATGAACCCAAGGTCGCGGTGAAACAGATGAACAACAGAGAAGAGACAGGCAGAAGAGATTAGCATTGCAGGGTGGATGAGTGAGTTAATGTTGGAACAGATGAGTTTTGCGGAGGGATTGGAAGATGGTTTCAGAGAGAGAGGCGTTGTAAGATGTCACAGGAGGTGAACCAGAGGGTGGGCGCAGCGACAAGCGAAGGCACGGTCCCCGAAGGTGCGGAGGCGGAGATGGTGTGTGTATGAGAGCAGCGGAGTCGAACGCAAGCAGCTGTATGGGTGGAGAGATCTGTGAGGTACTGAGGAGAGGGCATATGGGTTTGTGTAGTGAGATAGCATGTGTACTCTGTGTAGATATTGTAATTTTGCGAAACAACCCTAGGTACTTTGTTCCGTTT